TGAGTATGTGTTGGAATTGCAAAAACAAGTTAGCGTTATTCAGCATTTTAAAACTAAGTTTGATGATTGGACAACTGATAATCCATTTATTGACCAACTTATTCGCGATAGTCAAATTAGTAACGCAGATTTAGATACAATTATTGAATGGGTGTCTTTTGAAAACTTTAAAGATGTTAAGTTTGTAACTCAAGGTGGATTTGGAACAATATTTGGGTTGATGGTTGGATCATTGGATGGAACGATAAAGCTAAACAAATGATAAGGCCAGGATCAAGTGAAATTATATTAAAATTATTAAAAAAATCCAACAATCCGAATGATCAATATTTTAATGAGGTTAATTGTTGTTTCATTTTATTGCTCATTACCGGTAATCATACAATATATAAGTGCTAATCGAAATTCGATAAACAATTTAACAGGCAATATCACATATTATATTCTCAAGTCTAGGATCATATTTCGTTAAATGTTACGGACTAACGAAGTACCCGAGTAGTTCAGAATATATGTTAATTTTGAAATATATGAAAAGTGGAGATCTTAATTCCTTTTTATCTGACAAAAACAATCAATTTAGCTGGAAAGAAATATATTTATTACTTCGACAAATATTCAAAGAACTTCACTATCCATAATTCTAACATGATACATAAAGATCTTCATCCTGGAAATATTCTATTTGATCAGGGTGAATGGCATATTAGTGATCTTGGATTCTGCGGACCTGCAGATAAAGATCCAAATAATCAAATTATTGGAATATTGCCTTATATTGCGCCAGAAGTATTGTATAATAAGAATTATACAACAGCATCAGATATATATAGCATTGGGATAATTATGTGGCAACTTTTAACTAGGCGCAAACCATTTTATAATCGTGACCATGATATCCATCTTGCAATAGAAATTTGCAACGGCCTGCGTCCACCAAGCATACCAGGAATTCATTCCGATTATGAATACATAATGAAAAGTTGTTGGGATGCAGATCTTTCACAACGGCCAGATGCAAAAGGGCTACTTAGTTATTTTGATAGTATTATTGAACAACTTAATAATAAAGAAATTTTAATTCCTGAAATAGAATTTGACTTGTCTTCTTTAAATGATTATTTATCTAATAGTCAGAAAAGTAAAACGATTGATTTTGAAGGCATTCCAAAACCAAAGAATGACAGAAATATAGGTATAAATAATAGCCTTTTAATTATTATTTAACCCATAATTGAATAAATATCTTTACTATATAGATTATAATGAATATAATGAAAACGTCGAAAAATACACGCGCCACAAAATCGCAACTAAAATTACTTCAAGCAAAGGTCAGTATAGAGTAATTGGACTCGTCAACTTGTGTCTTGAATAATTATGTTTCGAATCATAAATTTTAGCTCACAAGTTAGTTATTTAGAGGTTCCTCAGTTCGTCCCTTGCAATTATTAATATAATTACTTTGATAATAAATAAATGCTTT